TACAATTGCATTTGGGATTGTGCCTATAGTTGCTAAATAAATAAATAAATAAAACACAAAAAGAACAACATAACATAGCATAAAACCAACCTCACCTCAATTACATTGTGCGAGTATGAGAAGAGGATGACGACATTCAGCAACCACTGTAAACCATATGGAACTGTATTGTGTGAGTATGAGAAGAGGACGACGACGTTCAACAATCACTACAAACCGTATGGAGAAATTAAATGACGCACACAACCTACTCCCAAGGATGGACAAGCCCTTACGTGGTGGTGTCGCAACCCAAAAATTTCCGATCTTGCGACGTATGGTTTAGACATCCTTTTTAAAAGTCTCATTAATTAAGGAATGCCCGGACACCAGACTAATCCTTAATTAATGGTTTTGAAAATAGGTTCATGGAGTCGCCACCAATATTTTACTCAAAATATTGGAAAAAGAAAAGGTTTTTAAAGATCCAATAATGGCCTTGATAACCAAAATTGGGTTCGGGGGTCGATTACGTATAGGGAAGGTATTAAGCACCCCTACAACGCCCTAAATCGGTACCCTATGATGAAGATAACGTAATAAGAATTAATAGATTAAATATTAAATCCCCTTTAATAATGTTTATTTACATACTTAAAATATAAATTAAGCGATTTCTCTAAAATATCTACATTATGACGTTTATTATAATAAAAAGGAAATAAAAAATGAGGAATAAAAAGAAGAAAAGAAGATTGAATGAAATACCTCTTGAACAAGCTTTATTAAATCTTCAAATATGAGAAAGGTGCTTTGTGGCGACCTTTCACACTACAGTATGCCTCACAAATCTCAAGAAATACAATAGGAGGGAGAGAGAATATAGAAATGCGACACAAATCTCAAAAAAATATAATAGAAGGGAGAGAGATAGAGAATTTTCGTGCTCAAAGGAGTCTTATTCGAAATTTCTCTGGCCGCCTGGAGAACTGTGCCCAAGACTTCAATTTATAGGGATCAGCAGTGGGCCAGAACGGCCTGTTCCGGTTTCGGAACGACCCGTTCTGGCCCAATTATTATGTGTAAATTTCGTACCCTGGAATTGCCCGTTCTGAAAACGGAACGGCCCGTTCCAGAGTAGAAAGTGACACAAATTTTCCTTTTCTAGAACGGCCCGTTCCAGTTTTTTCTTGTTTGGAACTGCCCGTTCTGGTATTGGAATGGCCCGTTCCACCCAAAATATTTAGTTGATTTCAGTTACGTTGGAACGGCCCGTTCTGAGTTTTGGAACGACCCGTTCCGATTTTGGAACGGCCCGTTCCGGGCTACTGAAACCACCATATTTGGCCTTTAGGCCTTCTGATGTCTTGTCTTGTTGTTTGCCTACTTTGGAAGCCCTTTCCCTTCGTAATGGAGGTCCATTTCTTTGTTTGTATGCCCCCGGACGAAAATGGGTGTCTACAGGTGGAAGGCTATGTGGAGGCTATACGACCAAACAGAAGGTTGTACGAAGGCTATTCGAAGACCATGGAGGTTGAGACATGAACAAAGGGCTTTCGCTTTTTATTGTGAATTTGATTCTTTTTTCTATTTCTTTTTGACTGTATGTTTATAATGTACATTTTATAAATAATATAAATTACTATATAATGTGAAAATTTTTATAAATATATAAATAGAAATATAAATTATTAATAGTTATATTAGTTTTTATTTGCTAAAAATTTATTTTCATTCTTTAATTTGTTTCTTAGGTTTAATTTCATAATTTTTATTTGAAAAGGTATTAATTAAGTTTTTATTTGTTCAAATATATTCGATTTGATTTATTTTAAAATTAAATTTAATCTTACTTTTTTGAAAATATTTGAAGTTAAAAGGAAAAACAATTTGATTAAATTAATCTCATTTTAAAAAATTAAAGACTCAATTGAACCATTTCAAAATAAATTTAATAACTAAATAAGAAAATCAATTATTGAACTTTTTAAAGGAGGAGGTTAGACGGGCTGTTATGAGGCTAGAGCTTCATTAACAGCACCAGTGTCAAAGGAGGAGGTTAGACGGGCTGTTATGAGCATGGGGTCTTTTAAGTCGCCTGGTCCAGATGGGTTCCCTCCTTTTTTCTTTAAGCAATATTGGCCTATTGTGGGGGATGAACTTTGGCGAACGGTGCAGGAGGCCTTCACTAATGGTTTCTCTGATACTGCTTTATTGGAAACACAAATAGTTCTTCTTCCAAAGGTCGATCACCCTGTATCGCTTAAAGAGTATCGCCCGATTAGCCTCTGTAACGTAGCATGGAAGGTCATCTCTAAAGTCCTTGTCGCTCGTCTCCGTCCTTTTCTCGGAGAGCTTATTGGACCTTTCCAAGGTAGTTTCATCCCGGACCGTGGTACTAGAGACAACTGCATCATTGCTCAGGAGGTCTTGCACTACATTCATAAAGACCAGTCAAAGAGGGGTTCGCTAGCTGTGAAAATTGATCTGGAGAAGGCTTATGATCGAGTGAAGTGGGAGTTTCTCGAGTCCTCGTTGGTAAAGTTTGGTTTCCCTACTATAACAATTCGTTTAATTATGTGGGGTGTGAGGAATGCATCGCTGACATTACTATGGAACGGGGGTGCCCTACCTTCTTTTCTCCCTGGCCGTGGTTTGCGGCAAGGTGACCCATTGTCTCCGTATCTCTTTGTGTTTTGTATGGAAAGATTTGCGTTGCGGATCGCAGAGTTAGCGCGTGAGGGGGTTTGGAACCCTCTACATATTTCGCGTGGTGGTCTGGCACTCACACATCTACTTTTTGCAGATGATATTATGTTGTTTGGTAAAGCTTCTGTCTCTCAGGTTAAGCTTGTGCAAGAGGTATTAAGAGAGTTCTCTAATGCGTCAGGTTTAAAGGTGAACTGGGAGTAGTCCAAGTTTGTGGTATCAAGAAAGGTAACCCCATCGGCCATTGTTGAGTTTGAGAACATATTGGGGCTGGAGCATACCATGGAGTTTCGGAAGTATCTTGGCATTCCTCTTGTGCAAGGTCGGATGAAGGCAGCACACTTTCATTCAGTGGTAGATAAGATTAAGTCTCGGCTCGCGTCATGGAAGGGAAAGCTACTGAATAAGGCGGGTAAACTCTGTCTTATTAAATCTACAGTTACCTCGATCCCGATACACTACATGCAAGTTCATTGGCTTCCGCAAGCCATTTGTAATCAGGTGGACCATGCATGTCGCTCTCTTTTATGGTCAAAAAGTGGGGGATCCAGGTTTTGGGCTTTAGTTGATTGGGAGACCATCTCATCACCTAAGGAGGATGGTGGGTTAGGCATTCGCGATGCTCGTGGGATGAACACAGCTTTGCTTGGCAAATTAATTTGGGATGTTGTGCAGTATCCGGAGAAGCCATGGGTGGTACTATGTCGGCAGAAATACTTAGTTGACGAATCCATTTTTAGTGCTACTAAGGTTCTGGGGTCTTCTCCAGTGTGGTCGAGCATCATGAAGGCTGTTGAGGTACTTCGTGAGGGCTATAGGCCTCACTTGGCGGATGGGAGGTCCTCCATGTGGTTTGATGATTGGCTTGGCATAGGAAAGCTCAGTAATTTTGTTCAATTTGTGCATATTAGTGACTCAGACAAGTGTGTCAATCACTTTTGGGATCAGGGCACATGGAATTGGTCGCTCCTCTACACAGTTCTCCCTCAAGTACTACGAGATAGTATTCAGCAGGTACAAATTCCGTCTTCTAGGGCTAGAGTGGACTCTTTTTCTTGGAGGGGTGATCCTTATGGTTGCTATACCGTCGTGTCGGGGTACACATTCTTGAGGTCGCAGGTCGGGTTAGTACATGAGGGTGTATGGAGGAAGGTTTGGAAATTGCAGGTCCCCGAGAAAGTTAAATTCTTCATTTGGCAGGGGTTGCATGGAGTGTTGCCAACGAATCAGCTCCGCGTGGTCCGCCACATGGGCTCCGAGGCAGGATGCACCCGTTGTGATTGCCCAAAGGAGACTATTCTGCACGTGTTACGTGACTGCCCCACATCACGTCAAGTTTGGTTGGAGTCAGGAATGGCTCAGATTGTTTCACTCTCCATCATAGATGCTTTTGTTTGGCTACGTAGCATAATTGATAACAAGCATGCCGGGTTTCTAGTTATGATTCTCTGGTGGCTTTGGCGTTTTCGCAACAACAGGAATTTTCAGGGTACTAGTTGGTCCATGAATTTCTTAAAGCGCCAGATTGCTATATCTAATGTTCAGAACGTGTTGTTTAACGACAGGCGTCACCATTGGTCTACTGTTAGCGTTTGGTGCTCTCCAAATGCTCCGTCTGTGAAGCTCAACGTTGATGGGAGTTGGCTACAACAACAACAGACCATGGGTAGAGGTGGAGTTATTAGGGATGCTGCAGGGAGATGGAAGGGTGGTTTTTCTGCAGGTAGTAGGGAGGGAGATGCCCTATGCGCAGAGCTTCTTGCATTAGAGGAAGGACTATTACTTTGCTGGGAGGAGGGGTTTAGGCATATCGTGTGTGAGTCAGACTGTTTAGGGGCAGTTCAAGCTGTGCGAGGTAGCTGGCGGGTTCAAGACAACTTACACAAGCATCGTGATATCATCTGGCAGGTGAAGGACATGAGGACTTGGAATTGGGTTGTGGAGATTTCTTGGGTTCCTCGAGAATGCAACTCAGTGGCACACAATCTTACTTGTTTAGGTGCTCGAAACTTGGTTGATATGGTGAAATGGAGGAGTCCTCCTAGTTTCGTGTTTATGGCCTTAGGAGTTGATTCTTTGTCAAGTTTGTAATCTCGTTTTCCTTTGTTTTTATTTTTTTCATTAATTTACCAAAAAAAAAATTTTAAAAATTATTAAATAAATAATATAAATTATTATATAATA